TGCCCCTCCTTCCTCTTCTCTCTCCATTCTCATCCTTCTCCAGTTGCTCTAGACCCTCTTCCACCTCCACGATGGAATAAAGTGTCACCCCATGGTTGTTGGCCTGGGCTGTCCTCATATACTTGTCCACCTGGGTCCTCAGCCTCCAGGCGGTGATGGAAGGTGTGTTTGTCTCTCAGTGTTGAGGAAAGAAAGGACTGGAGGTAGATAGGCACTGTTGGGACAAGGAGAGGCTTGGGCACTACTCCCGGTTCTCCTAGACAAAAACAGAGGTCCCCCACCTCAGGGCCCAGACGTGGCGTTTCTGAGACTGGCCTCCGAGGGCAGGATCCTTTGGGGGCCAGCAGCCCTTGTCAAAGCGTAATCTTCAAGATGTTAAAACTGTAGTTCTCATACAAGTTGATACTGATCATATGTCAAAGGTTTCTATAACTCATTAATGAAGGAACCAGAAGAATGACAAAGCTGGTTCAAAGAAGGCTAAGGTGTGTATATATACAATTTAACTTAAATATTAAATAAATATATTTATTAAACATAAAATATTTGTGTGTATATATATTAGAGAGAGAAGAAGAGGGAGAAAGTGAAGGGAAGGAAAGAACAAAAGGGGAGGGAAAGGAAGGGATGAGAAGAGAATGCTGGAATAAGATGGCTAAATTAGGTACAAAGCTAGTTAAAGTCCACAGGACAATAACATTGTAACCTTTAGGGCTAACTTCTCTACAGAACAGAAATGATTTACTCTTCCTCTTGACAAATATTATTTGCCTCCTATCAGTTTTTTGCAAATTAACACCTAACTTTATAGAGTCTGGACCCCAATCAATAGTAAATATGAATCAAAGTTACTTTCCTCTAGAGGATCGAATGACTCTTAGGTAGCTTTGTAACATCATACTCTAGACTAGTGTTGTCCAATATAATGTGAGCCACATATGTGATTTTAAATTTTCTAGTAGCCACATTTAAAAAAGCCAGAAGAAACTGGTAAAATTAATTTTAATATTTAACCCAATATATCCAAAATATTATCATTTCAACCTGTCATCAATACCAAAAAAATTAAGATGTTTTACATTCTTTTTTCCTAAGTCTTTGTGCTCCAACGTGTATTTTACACTTACAGCACATCTCAGTTTGGTCTAACCACATTTCAAGGGCTCAATGCCACCTGGGGCTAGCGGCTATAGTATCGGACAGCGCAGCTCCAGCGCAGTGCTTCTCAAACTTTAGGGTGCATCAGACTCACCTGGAGGGCTTGTGAGCACACAGGTAGCTGGGCCCCACCTAAAGAGCTCTTGATTCAGCAGGTCTGAGGTGGGGCCTGAGATTGTGCATTTCTAGCAAGTCCCAGGTGACGATGATGCTTTGAAAACCACTATTCTAGAGAGTTTGAAAGGATACACAGTCTTCTTTTTTGCCTTACTTCCAAAATTTGGATGATTTTTCTTAACACCTTTCAGGCTGGCAGGGTAGGCAAAAGTAGCAGCAGGCTCCCTGGAGAGTTTGCCTGGGCTCAGTGTCTGACTGGGCAGGCTGCCACATGGGAGCAGCCTCATGAAAGTGGGTGAGATTTCTGCAGCAGCACCATTGATGGCTAGAGGCTCACAGGGAAGGGAAAAGGGAACTGACTCTCAACAACCCCCGGGAAGGGCCAGGCCTTGTGCTAGCTGCTTCTTATTCCTCACTACTCTGCAGGTAATGCCAACTAGGCTCAGAAACTGAGCTGTCCTGAGGTTCATCTGCCCAGATGGAGGTGCTGGTAGGGCCCTGGGGCTCTCAGGGAGAAGTGGTCCCTGAAGTCCAGAGTGGCCAAAAAAGGCTGGCCAGACAGGAAGTTGGAATTGGTGCTGGACCCAAAGGACAAACGGAACCTGTGGGACATGCTCAAGCAAGGGCTAGGGAAGTAGCAATGAGGGGGCTCTCCTGGGGCAAGCTGGGACCCAGGAAATAGCAGCCTGAAGCCTTGGGGAATCTGTAGTAAAAGATGTTCCTAAGGCCTCCCTGGAAGGCACCTCCACAGGCTCCCACTGCGACCCTCCCAGTTCACGGATGAGGACAGATCCCAGAGATACAGAAGGATTTACCCAGGCCACACAGTGAGTTAGCCCACATCTCCAGCCCAATCCATGGACCCTTCCTCTTGATTCTGTAGGTTTGGAAGTAGGGTTGAGAGCAGTGGGTACATGTGTGCATGTCAGAGAAAGAAGTGTCATTTTGGGGGGGCATTCCCATGCTTGTCTCATCATCAGTGGTATCCAAGAGTTAACATTAATCCTCTTAAGGACATGGACTGTGTCCTATCCTGGTCTTTGCCATCCTTCTAGCACCTTGTAAAGGCCTGAGCACACGAATACTGAATTTAAATGAACTGGTCTGCAACATGTGAGTGATTAGGGTGTCTATATTATATGTCATATAAATGAGGGTCATGGAGGAGGTGACTACCGTGAGTGTAGAGGTGTCTGCGTCACGGGATGTCCTGTAGGGGTGTAGGGAGTATTTGCACGTGAGTGATCACTATAGCATATAATGTGAGATGAATGGATGTCTACACTGTGTGAGTATCCTATTTGGGAGCATGTGAGCTATCCACACCTTGGTGTGACCTATAGGGCACCTACACTGTGGCGACTACTGTTTGAGGCCATACGAGCTGTCTGCACATCACAGTAACATGTAGGAGTATATTGGGTGTCTACACTGTGGGTGTGCTCTGTTTGGGGTTATATGGGGTATCTGCACCTCAGAATGCCCTGTAGGGGTATACAGAATGTCTATGCTACATGAAAGTGTTTTCTGGAGGGTGTCTAATAGAGATGAAAATGTGTACTGCTGTAACGTCTCTGTGGAAAGAGAAGTAAAGGGGGTTTCCAGAGGGGAACCCATTGTGTTGCAGAATATAACAGATGCTGAGCGATCAGCAGTGTGGACAGATGCAGGATCCCCAGGGAGGTGTATCTCCAGGAGCATGACTGCTACCAGCTTCCAATAAGTGGCTGCCCCCTTAGGACACCTCTGTTCTAGGGGCGGTGCCCACTCCTCCCAGCACTTGGGGACCTCTTCTTGGAGGACTGGGCTTTCAGAGCCTGTGCAAATCTTCCTCTGAAAGTGAATTTCATGTTTGCAGACTTTGGAGGCAACTCTGATGAATCAAATGGGTGTTCATATTTGGGGTCTCAAACCAAGGAGGGATAGTGAAATGAGGAAGCTGACTGGAAGAGCTCATACGGTGGCCCAGGAGCCCACATGCCAGGACCCATCACACTCACAGTTTGTAACGGGCATCTCCCTGGATGAGTCCTGTAGGGGCCAAGGCAGATACTGATATTATTCTGCATTTACTAATAGTACAACAGCCAGAGCATTGTTCATGGTTACCTTACTGGTGGGTGGCCAGGCCAAGGCCCACCATCCCAGCCAACTGCCTGGAAGGACTGCTCAAGTGCTCAAGGGTTTATCTAAAAAGCAGTCACACCTCATATACTGTGCTTTTTTCCAATTACTATATGGGAAAAAGAAGATATTCACTGTGTATCTGTAAGGTGTGTCTGACAGGTACTCTCATGCATATAGTGGGTGCAAGCTCTGGGTGATTAGGTTTTTGCTATCTGTATAATGGATAGAATATGTAGGAGGGAGAGCTGCAGTATGCGAGGGGGGATCTACTGTGGGAGAGGGATCTACTTGTGCAGGGGGATGTGTGTGTGCAAGGGGAGCTGCTGTGGGAGGGGGGATCTACTGTGTGGAGAGGGATCTGCTGAGAGGAGATCTGTTGTGGAGGGGAGGGATCTGCTAGTGGGAAGGGATCTGTTGTGGTGGGGAAGAATCTTCTATGTGGGAGGGGCTCTGCTATGTGAGTGGGGATATGGTGTGGGGGAGAAGAATCTGCTATGTGGGAGGAGGATCTGCTGTGCGTGATGACTGTGCAATGTTTACAACGACTATTTAAAAAAAAACATTGCCATTGAGTCGATTTTGATCCTATAGGACAGAGTATAACAGCCCCATAGGGTTTCCAAGGAGCGGCTGATGGATTTGAACCACGACCTTTTGGTTAGCAGCCATAGCACTTAACCACTACACCACCAGGGCTTCTGCAATGACTATATTGTTGAGTAATCACATACAACATAAAATGGTGTATTAATGGGTATACTCTGTTCCATATTGCTTCTGTGCATGTACTGTGAGTGATGGGCATGTACTGTGAGTGATGGGTATAAACACTGTGTGTGATTAGTACGCCATATGTGTGTGATGAGTATACTCTACATGTGGAGTACATATCGTATATGCTTGTGTGAAAGGTATACTGAGTGTGGTGGATATACACTGTGTACGGTGGGTGTATTTTGTAATAGTATATAAGGTACATACAGTGTATATAATGATACACTCTATGATGAGTACATATAATATATATACTCTATGATAAGATCCCCCTCACACATAGCAGATTCCCATCATACTCACCCACTGTGTGGGTGATGGGTATACTCTAGGGGAGGGATATGCTGTGATAGATGTGCTATATGTGTGATAGGTATACTATGTGAAACAAATATACTCCGTGTGTAATAACTTTACATTGGGTATGTGTGAGTACATGCTATCTATGGAATACACATTGTATGTGTGGTGAGTATACAGTGTGTTGGGGTTAATTTATAAGTAATAGTATATACAGTATATATAGTGATATACTCTATGATGAATATACATCACGTGTGTGATGAGTATACACTTCGTTGGACAAATAAGCGTTGTGTGCTCTGTACACTGTGTAGTGAAGTAGTCCTTGTGTGAGGGATCTACTGCACATGTATCAGGCCTACTGTGTATATGCAGCTTGTGATGGAAATATGGGGTGTGTGCCTGTGTGAGGGTAGGCAGACGGAGTCACCTCCTGGGAGGGGGCATGCCAGGGGGTAGTGAGATCTTCCTCTGTTTCCAGAACCCCCAGACTCTTGAGCCCACTAACCACCCTGTTTCAGGTTCTTTCTCAAGTTCTTCCTCAAATGCAACCAGAACTGCCTAAAGAATGCAGGGAACCCCCGAGACATGCGCCGCTTCCAGGTGGGCCTGCGGAGAGGGGTCCCCCTACAAACTGCCCTTTCCCATAGTAGAGGGGAGTCCGGGGAAGGGGAAGGCTGTGGCCCTGAGGGCAGATCTCTGCCCAGCCACGAGCCTCCAGGGCCTGGTGCCTGCTGGGGGTGGGGCAGCTCCTTCTCAACTTGCGCTGGCTGCCAAGGGAGGCTTCATTAGAGTACCACTTAAGAAGATGCTAATTGTGACATTTTTACATGATTAACGACCCAGGTAATTTGCATAGCGTGAAGCAGAAAGCAGCTGCCCTTAGCACATCCCCAACCTGCACACCGCTCTTAGTGCTGGGGGAGGAGGGAGACTGAGGCAGCCCCAATCTCCTCCCCAGAACAGGGTGGGGGTTCCAGCTGAAGGGCCCCCAGGCTGCCCACCCTGGCTCTCCCCATCCAGACCCTCGTTCTCACTTTCCTAAGGCCCCATTTCTACCTTGGAGCCCCATGGATACAGCCTAGGGAGCTGTGGGTGCAAAAATAATAGCCTCTCTTTGCCCAAGGAGCCAGAGACTTTTTTCCCCAGGTCTCTTGATTTTTGTTGCTCCGGGGTCAGTTCCTCTGGGCAGCCTGGGGGTGTTGCCTGACCCAGGTAGTCCCCTTCTACCCTATCAGGGTGGCCAGTCCAAAGGGGCTGTAGTCCGGTTTTACCACCCACCCCCCGCCCCCGCGCTGGATGAATTCCAGCATCCAGCCAACGGCCTCAAGTTGCTGGTTCCCTGCCACAGTCCCATCCCAGGAGCCCCCAAGGGCCGCAGCCAGGCTGGCCTCGGCTCTCCCCGCAGGTGGTGGTGTCCACGACGGTGAGCGTGGACGGACACGTGCTGGCGGTGTCGGACAACATGTTTGTGCACAACAACTCCAAGCACGGTCGCAGGGCGCGCCGCCTGGACCCCTCCGAAGGTCAGGACCACCGGCCCAGCCCCAGCCGTCGCGGGTCCAGCCAGCCCGCAGTTCAGACCTCGGTGCGGGCGCCTGACCTGGCTCTTCTCCTGCCTCCCAGCTGCCACCCCCTGCATCAAAGCCATCAGCCCCGGGGAGGGCTGGACCACGGGCGGCGCCACCGTCATTGTCATCGGTGACAACTTCTTCGACGGGCTGCAGGTCGTGTTCGGGAACGTGCTCGTGTGGAGCGAGGTGGGCCACCCCGGCCAGTCTCTTCCGGGCCTCCGGGCGGGGCAGGGCTGAGCCCTCCCATCTCCGGGACGCGACCCACAGGCCTCCCCTCTCCCCTCGCAGCTCATCACGCCCCACGCCATCCGTGTGCAGACGCCCCCACGGCACATCCCAGGGGTGGTAGAGGTGACGCTGTCTTACAAGTCCAAGCAGTTTTGCAAGGGAGCCCCCGGCCGCTTTGTCTACACAGGTAAGGAGTCCGGCGGAGCGGGGGAGGGAGGCCTAAGGTCGGCAGAGAAAGCCCCACCCCCACTC